GAAGAGCATGAGGCCTTGGTGGGCCTGTGGTCCACACGGCCTTGGCACCCTATGGTGGGAGAGTGCAACCTCCCGGAGCAGCAGAGCTCTGGCCCCCACCTGACCTGGCCTTGGCCCGTGGCCAGGTCTCCAGTGGTGGTCACTATTGGTTTTTGTAGGCACCTGGGTAGCCAGATGTCAGGAGGTGGACCCAAAGCCCCCACCCAGCTTGTCACTCTGGAACTCTGCAGGCCCGAGAAGCCACCAGTGCCTCCGCTTCCTGCAGTGAGCAAGGACACACAGAGGGCCGAGGGGCGCAGGGCGCCTGCTGCTGCACAAAACAGGGCCGCTTCAGCGTCTCCTCCTGCCGGCTTTCCTTCTCCCAGAGAAATTTTAAACGTTTCCATGTCTTTTCAGCTGCTTTTTAATCCTTTGTCCTCTTAGCAAACGCCTGTTTCTAACCTCAAAGAAAATACGTCCAGGTCAGACAACTCGAGCTACAGGCCCTTAAAACAAGTGGGTGGTTCTTATGGAAAAGGGAAATAAAGAGTCAATCTGGGGCCTGGCTGGAGCGGGGCCAGGAGGCTGGTGCTGGAGGGAAGGGGACTTGCTGTGGGGCTGGCAGAGCTCCCTGTGCAGTTCATGGAAATAAGACGCAAAGTGTCCCCAAGGCTGGGGCCACACTCTGCTGACTCCATGAAGGATTTCCTAGTGAGGAGCGGAGCGTCTGTTTGGAGGCTGGGTGGAGGGTGAGAGGGAAATCGGCCTCATTCCTGGGCAGGTGCAGAGCCCCAGGCCACTTGCACCTTGGGGAGCCCCTGAGGGCCAGCTTGGCCATGGCGGGTCGCAGCATGCTGAGTGCCTTCTCTTCCCCTCCACTTCCCACAAGCCCAGCCACTGCCAGGATAGCGGTCCCTGGGAGCATTTCAACCGGGGCTTCCCCTGCCCCTTGCAGGGCGCCTGCCAGGTGCTGCACATCTTTTATTTGCTTGTCTGCAAATTCTGAAGGGACAGAGAGACTTTCAGTCCTTTTCCTTTTCGCTGGTTTATAGGAAAAACTTAAAAAATTACTTTCTGGCAGGATTTCTTGAGCATAGTGGTTCTCAAACTGGGGTCACGTTGCCCCTGGAGACATTGGCAGCACCTGGAGACATTGAGGTCATCACATCATGGGGAAGGGGTGCTGCTGGCCCCTGGTGGGCAGAGGCCTGGGATGCTGCTCAGGGTCCTACCATGCCCAGGCTCTGCCCTGCAAGTGTGGTCCAACCCAAAATGCCCTTGTGCACCAGAGGCAGAGGGGCTGGGCGCAGTGCAAGGGCCCAGAGCTCCTGGGTGGACGTGGGTTTGCAGCCAGGTGGCCGTGGGCACGACACATCACCTGACCCTCCAAACCGGGTCTGTGAAGCCAGAAGCCAGCAGAGTGAAACCTGCAGCCGGACCTTGTGGAGGACCAGCGTGCAACACCTGGAGCAGGTCTGGGCTGCTCGAGAGCCGTGACGGCACCGGGAACCCACCATGGGGTCCTCTGGCTGCAGGAGGCCAGGCCCCGGTGGATGTGCCGGGGCTCCCGAAGCCTTTGCACCTAGAAAGCTCTCACTGGGGCTGAGGCTCGTGTGGAGGAGTGGAGGCTCTCCCTGCAGGGCGGGAGCAGGCTGGAGAGCCTCAGCCCAGGGCTCCCTGCTGTAGGAACCTGGAGCCCCCAGAGAAGAGAGGACTTTCCCACAGAGGCCGGGCTAGCCCCACCCCATCTCAGGTCACTCTGTGGCCCCACCAGCAGTGCCCACCCTGCAGGGGGGAGGGGCACCTGGCAGAGGCCCAGGCCTCCAGGCCTCCTCCCAGGCTCTAGCAAGTGTGCGTGGTGCTGACAAGTGACAGTGCTGGGCCCTGGAGCAGAGGGTCAGTGGGCAGATTGAGGTGACAGGTACAAGCAACCTGCTCAGAAAGCAGGGTGCCCAGGCCATGGGCCAGGAAGAGTGGCCCCAAGGAAGTACCCATCAGCATTTTTGGCTGTGAATTGGGGACATCAACTATTTGTTGGTTTAAGATCCCAAGTGTCCCCAAGACTGGTCACAGACTGAGCATAATCGTCACTTTGGATGTTACTGGCAGTTACTCATGAGGTCACTGTGTACCCAGCAGGGAGGGCCCAGCCTGGTCAAGGCGAGTGGGTGCTCCGGAACCTGCGACTTACCCAGTGGCCGCACAGGAGCAGGGCACTGCCGTCCTGCAGGAAGAGTCGGTTCTGGGAAGTGTCCACCTGGAGCAGGGAGCGCTCCCCGGTCCCTCATCCAGGCCCAGGTGGGGCTGCCCGGCCGCCTTCTCCCAGCCTGCGCTGAGTCCTGACCCCGGGGCGGTGATTCAAGCCACAGGCCTTCTCCCAGCCTGCGTTGAGTCCTGACCCTGGGGCAGTGATTCAAGCCATGGCCTCAGCTCACTCTCTCACACGCGCTCGCCTGAGGGCCTGCGGTGCACACACGCGTGCCTGCCCGTGTGCACACAGGCTGCGTGGGTGGTACCTCCCCCGCCTGAGACCAGGGCTCTGGGGCAGGGAGGCCTTGGCAGCCTCTCACCCTACACCTCTCCCCTGTCCGCGGGCTTCCCACAGAGCACTGGCTCTGGGTGCCGTCTGGGGGACCCCCACAGTTCCCAGCGTCACGCGGTTCCAAGAGAGGAGCAGACTTCCAGTCCCAGCAGGTGCAGGCCACAGTAGGTCCCATCTTCACCGGGTGGCGGTCCCACCCTGGTGCCCCTCCCCCACCCGGGACGCCCCTCCCCCACGGCACCCCCACACACTGACCTCACGGTGCCGGCCCACCAGGAAGGACACTTATAGGGCAAGACTGGTTTTCCCCGGGGTATCCTGGGTGCTCCGCCTGGCACACGCAGGGTGCACATATTTGTTGAATTAATGAGTGACGACACTTTCAATTAGCGTGCCTTTGAGTTTAGGTTGCAGATTAGGATCTTCAGAAGAACTTTCTGGGCTGGGTTGTGCTCAGTGGAGAGCGCTTTCTCAGCACCTCACAAAAACAAGTAAATAAATAAAACAAAGCTTAAAAAAAAGGTCTTTGCACCAAATAGTTTTAAATCATGAGTGATTGAGGGTGCAGGGAGCACGGTGTTGGGGAGAGGCCCTGGGGAGCTCCGAGGGGCTGTTTGCTACTGTGAGGTCGTCCCCAGCACCTCTGCTCAGTCTGTTCAGACCCCGGCTCCAGCCCGGGGGGCTCTGGAGCTGGTCTCTCCTTGGGACGGTGGGAGTGCAGGGTGGGGGGTGTGCGTGGAGGAGGGGCAGGGTGGCCAGGCCGCCCTCAGTGCACAGTGCACACTCGGTGTCAGTAAACACAGGTGCTCAGGTGTGCAGGGGAGGCCTGCAGCTGGGCAGTGGCAGGGCAGGACACGGGAAGGCTCAGGCAGGCCCTCGAGACCCAGCACTCCTGGGCAGGGAGCTGGGGGGGACAGTCAGCCTCAGCTCCCGTGTTCTCCTGGACCCCCCTTCCAGCTGCCCCCAGGCCTGGCGGCCCCTCCCTGTGCGCAGCGGGCCAGTCTGCTGGCTGTCAGTTTCAGGGGAAGGAGTGGGTGGACAAAGGCCCCGGCCGGGTGCCCGGGAACCACAGAGCGCAGTGGGCAGGTGGGGCCCAGACCCCGCGAAGTGGGATAGGGTTTTGTTCCCGCCTTGAGTTCTGGGACCTGTTCCGCCATCTGGAGCGGAGAGGGGGTGGCCTGGGAGAAGTGAGTGGGGGCCACACCAAGCCCTGGCCGCCCTCTGAGGACCAGCAGGGATGCCCACTCAGGGCCACCCCAGTCCCTGGAGCGGTGGGGGTGGGGTGGGGTCTCGTTCTCTCTCATTTCCTCCACAAGTGTCGGGTTAATAATCCAGACTCCTCGAATGTCATGCTAAGTCGGTCTCTTGAAATTTAGGGCTGGAATTTTCTTAGCAAATATTTAACTAAAGAGCAACCCCTGCGTTTCTGGGCCCAGGGGTGGGAACAGAGGCCCAGGTAGCGGAGGATGGGCCATGCTTGATCTGGACAGCTCCTCATGGCCCCACGAGGCTGCGGCCTCCCTGCCCTCCGTGCCCAGGCTCCTGGGTTCAGACCTCGCAGCCCCTCCCGCTGTCTCCCTCTTCCTGGTGTCTTGCCCACTGCCTCATCCCTGGGTACCTGACTGGACTGCTCTGCCTGGTTAGGCTCTGGGCACCAGCCTGACGCCCCAGAGCCATCTCCACCAGGACCCCGGAGGGCGCCCTGGCTGGTCCCCTCCTGTGAGTCTCCCTGAGCCATGGCTGTCCGTCACCTGGCCTGAAGCATCTGCGTCCGCTCTGCCTGGATTTTGCTGTCAGGGACAACAGGGACATCTTGCTTCTGCTGCCCGACATTTGGGGACTTCTCTGGGGATGAAGTGAATGGCAGCCAGGCTGGAATGGCCAGGGTGGAGTGGTCTGGACGGGGTTGGACGCTGGCCTGTTCCCTACATGTTTGATCATCACCCAGCGACGCCTGTCCAGGGGCTTGTCCAGGATGGCCGTTTGCATGGCCACACACTTTTCTGCTTGGTCCTTTATAGAAACGACGTGGCCCCTCCCCAACCCCCGTCTAGAGTCCCCCTGCAGCAGGCCTGGAGCTTGGTGGGGAGTGAGCCTGCTGGCCAGCAGTTCCTGGGGACCTGGGCTTCTCGCAGGGTGGCCGCTGGCTCCTGAGAGGGAGCGTCAGGAGCCAGTGTCGGGGAGCCCGGGGGAACCAACCGGCCTTCTCTGTCTCAGCTTTGGGGTCACACCCGGCCTTCCTCGGTTGGTGGCCTCCCCAAGCCCACCCAGATGCAGGGGAAGGGGACACAGATCTCATCTGCAGGTGGGAGGACGTCGTAGCACCTGTGGTGGTTTTTTAAAGCCACCGTGTCCTTTAGACTACTCGTGCCGCCCCCAGATGAGTGGCCGCCCCACCGCCCCCAGAACAGTGTCCCTGTTCAGGCCAGAGCCCGCCCCTCCTCTTCCCGCTCCTCGGCACCCTCTGGTCCACCGCCCATTTCACCTAAGGAATTTTTATTGTTGTTTTGAATAATTCAAACACGTGAGCGCCTGAGCCCGACGTGGGGCGCGGAGCACAGCGGAGACGTGCACCCCAGCAGGCGCCCTGTGCCTCCCGGGCCACCTCTCCTGCCACCCAGGGAACTTCCCTTTATTTTCCTTTGCTTTTCGTCTTGGCTGCCTGGATTGTTCCGAAGAGATGCTGGTCTGCAGCCCTTATCTGCCACTCCGAATCCAGATGCCCTGAAAACCAAAGGGGGTTTTGAAAAAATCCATTTGACAGCAAAACATGACCCACCTCGGCCAGCCACAGTGGCTCGGGAGACTGAGGCGGAGGATGGCACGTTCAAAGCCAACAACTCAGCGAGGCCGTAAGCTACCTAGTGGACCCTGTCTCTAAGTTAAACAGTTAAAAAAAGGGGGGGCTGGAGATGTGGCTCAGTGGTTAAGCGCCCCCGGGCTGAATCCCTGGTACCAAAAGTTGAGCCACCTACACCAGGTGTCCCGGTGGCCCTGTTCCCATCCTTTGCAGGCAGTGCACCATCTGCTGCAGGAAGGTCAGCATTTCAGTGCCTGGGTCGGCCTGTCCTGTCCTGGCTTCCAGAACTCTCAGTTCCAGGCCTCCTGCTCACAGGGTTTTGGGTGGAGGATTCTGCACCTGTCTGGGGCTGGATCAGAGTCGCAGCCCTTTCCAGCTGGGCTCTGGGCTGCAGTGAATGGAGACTCGCGGACCCCCAGGGCCCGGAGCACAGCGGCTGGGCGGGGGCTGGTTGGCGGCTTGTTAGCCCCGTCTTTCCTTCGTCCCCTTCCTTGTTGGGCTGACAGCACTCTGCGACTTGTCTGGGTGGAGAGCATATGGGCTGTCCCTTGGCAGGTGCTCAGGGCCACATTGTCCTGCTGGATGGCGTCACTGGGCTCAGAACCAGGCGCTCACTGTTCTCTGAAGCCCGCATTGTTGCTTAATCTCCGCCTGGGGGCACTTGGCCCGCCCTCCTGGGAGGGGGCAGAAAGGTGGGCTCTCTGGCTCTGGCAGGAAGAGGGGGCTGGACGGGCGCCCTGCTGGCCCAGCCAGCGTCACAAAGGGAAGCCCCAGACAGCACTGCCGGAAGGTGTGGAGGCCCTGGGTGGCCTGGAGCAGCTGGGGTGCTAAACTAGGGGCCCCAGGCGTCTCGAGCTAGGAGAGCCCGAGTGTGTGTTTTCCCGAGGGCAGGCTGTGGGCTGGGCGCAGTTCTGACCCAGCTGCCATGGCACAGCGTTGGGAAAGGGACAGAATGTGCTGCTCTCGTCTCCTAGGTAGAGGCCAGAGAGGCTGCCGGGTGTCTCCAGGGGGACAGCCTCTCAGGGGTGCCCACCCCAGCCAAATGCCCTAGAAGCCAGGGCTCTGTCGGCAGCTGCCACCCCAGGGGTCGTGAGGCGGCCTGCTGATGGCCTGGCGTCCGGGCAGAGCGTGGCGCAGTCAGACCTCCAGATTCCTGCCCCGCGGTGAATGTCTGTGATGGCCAGAGCTTCCTGGGGCTCTGTGTGACCCCAGCCTGTTCCTGCGGGCACGGTTTCTCCCCCGAGTCTGGTTCACAGCATGAACACACCGTGGGGGCTTTGGCGTCACACTTGAGCAGGAACGAGGTCTTCAGAGCCAGCGAGGGGTACCGCCCAGGTTCGGTGGCGGCTTTGCCTCCTGCCCAACCTCTG